CCGCTGCCTTGCGGTTAGGCTTTTGAGCCAAAGACTTTGGTTGAGGACCCTAATCGTCCTCCTGTCTAGGTGTGGGCGCCCTGGCAGTATCCCAGCCCACGTACAACCACGAATTGCACATAGTACGGCAGTGAAGCATCGGTGTTGAACACTGATGTCATGCTGTCGATGATGATGATGATAATGATGATGATGATGATGACCATTTGTATCGATGTGTAGCGCTGTAAACATCATCTATTCAATACATATCTCGTTTGATTAGAAGCAAGTGATTTTCCTGTGCGAGTGTTGACTCACTTGGGAACAAAAGTCGTGAAGGTAAAACCACTTTCCGTTGGACTGGTTCTTCAAAGCAGAAGAGGAGCTGCTTGTACACAATGGATGTGGTGTACGAACGATGATTGTAAGCGGGTGGTATCCCGATTCTAGCTGATTCTAGTTGATTGAGTCAATGCTGACAACACTTCAAGTTGCGGATTAAAATTTTCGGGTTCTTTTTGAGTACTGAATGTTCCGTAGCTCGTTTCTCACGAAACGCGTCAGGGTACTCGACGCTTCAGCTAATAGATATACATTTTTCGTTGAGTGGCATTTGCACACACGGACGTCGAGTTCGCGTGGAAACATTATTGGCTGTTTCCATGTGGAGTTGTACAAAAGCAAAGTTTCTGCTTGGAAACTTTATTGAACTTTACGCCACTATTTTGCTGTTAGGCATCGATATAGTTTGGTACTCAGTTCTTACCGTTGGTTAGCCTGAACGTGTGCATAGGTTTGAATCGGCTGGAAGTAGTGAACTTCTTGATTTCTCCGAATGAACTACAGGTTTATAGAATCCCAGTTGGCGTGCACAGCTGTCTGTGTGTTAAAAGTCCACCAATTTTTTCCCAAGTGTGCAGTCTGATAATTGTTGAGCCGGCACACCGTTATCTAAACTTGCAGCAGATTCAACAACACTGTATAATCCCGTTATTCACTGTTCAAGCAAGCTTTTTAGGAACTCACACTTGTTCAACGAACTTGGGTTTCGCTTTCAGCATAATGTTTGATTATTTCCTATCTTTTTGTTCCGTCTAAATGACCATCTAAGTCCATGGGCCACTCGTATTGATCATTGAGGGGAGTAACAATTTCGTTCATCCTCGATGTACACCTTTTCATAAAAATCCAAAACTGTTTATCACCAAGACCAAGTTATACTTCGGGAAATTGAGTTCCAATAGATATACCCTTCACTGACATTCGAAGTTAGAATCGGTATGGACTACACGAGCAGGTATCAACCGATTGAGACAATGAATGCGTTCAATGGTGTATTGCTGATAATGTATTTGGTTATCCTAGGGACAATTACTTCAAAGTTCCACTGCATTCTGGTCCGTCTGACGCATGAGAATCTCGGGATCTGGGTGAACATGACTGTTCAAGTTAAATACAGTGCCACCTCGAGAACCACCAGTACGCTTCTGGGGAGTATGGTTGTACGGTTGCGAATCACCAGTGTTGAACACTGATGTTATACTGTACTGATGATGATGATTCTGGAGAGTTAGCCACGCTTCGGTATTTGGTGGAATGAACACCAAGACGTAAGGCACTGTTGTGGACTGTCTAGGAGGGTGGCTTTTTTTCAGAGATCTTACAGGGTGTCATTGTGTACTTATCTTCCACCAGATAAAGTTTTTATTTGAATAATCGCCAGGTTTTCCCTCCTGATATGTAGTTCGCATAGTTTTAATAGAGCAGATAAATCACCCGTCGAATTCCTCATCCTGTAAACAATTTGCGCCTAAATGACGGGCCTTCGTCTGATATTTGTCAGCTTCTGACTACAATACTTTGCACCGAATTTTCTGTTCGATTCAGTTCACAACCCATTGGTGGTCACTCACGTCACGTTTTCATCAGTCCTTTTTCGGTCATCACTTCGTGATTATTTCGTTTTACGATCACTCCCGTGTCCACTGGTGCGCACTTACACACAACATCCAGTTACATATAGGTACCAATAGATCGCACAGTTGATCATTCGTGTTTTTTTACCCGCACTAAGCAGCAAACTGCTAGTGTCACGTATAGGTACCAATAGATCGCACAGTTGATCATTCGTGTTTTTTTTACCCGCACTAAGCAGCAAACTGCCTAGTGTCACGACTACTTTGGCAGGTACTGAAACTAGGCCAATCAGTCTTGAAACACTGAGGATCAATTTGGAGCTGTTTTCTCGCTATTGCTCATCACCGGGATTCTGGATGGAAATTCAGAACTTTCAGAATAGCAGTGGCTTACTCTCCCTTTGTTCTGATCAAAATGGTAACAAACTAGCATTATACGTAATGTGGCATCAGTCCTCCTAGGCATCGTCTGCACCAAGCGACTGATGACTTCTGACGCTCCTGTCCACAGCGAGGACAGGAGGAAAATTGTTCGATGTAGAGATTGAGAATGAGAACCTGTCGTGAAGATGGAGAAGCCCATATTGGAAAGTTAAGAACTAGTGAAACGCACGCTACTCCCCTGCCTCCTCATCAGTAGTATCACGGTTACACTAGTATGTAGCTGTTTTGTTACCCAGCTACAGCTGAACTCTGACTTCATCTTCAGTTTGCGAATCTTCGCATGATGTTTGAAAACCACGCCTCTGGGCTATAGACTCGTGATACAGTCTGACGTAGTTTGACATGGTTTTCCTCAGTCAAGTTCGGCAAGAATCCTACCGCAAATACTAGCGTACTCCAACCCATTATGAAGCCAAATTGGTTTTTGTTTAAACCGAAATGTAACACTAGCAACATCACAATGGGCGCATTAACACGGGCGTCTAGTAAACCTCACCCTGATCGGCTCATCGGTATGATTGACTCGCTTTTACGTCACATATTCGCCTCAGTCACCTAACTTGCTCGACTCATGCATGGATGACATTTGCATGCCATTAGATTCCGCGTTACCTGTTGAACACGTAACTTAGATTGTGGGATTGCTGAACCCCATCTAACGATAACCGCTGGTTTACGTCCACGTTTGATAGGTAAACTTATTCCATGCCGCGTATTTTCTCCCTTTCCATGTGAGCTGTCCAAATCGGGCGAGTCGTTTAATTGTGTGAATAACCGGATTCTTCTGAAGCGATATTGGGCCTCTTACAAGTCTTTCGGGCGGCCACAGCCGTTTGACTATATTCGGTGAGTCAGCTTGGTCGGTCGCGGAAAGTTTGTGTCCGACTATGCATCAGTTCGATTATTGTTTATCGACATTTATATTCCATTATGCTCGCATCAGTGTACTTATTTTTCCACTAATCGTCTTCCAGCCACTACTTTGGTGAGGCGATCGCCTTTTATTTTGCCTGGCTTGGATTCTACACCTTATGTCTGGTTCCGGTCGCTATTCTCGGTGTCCTTATATTCCTTTTTGGACTTATCGGAATGTTCAATGACCCAATTGTGTAAGTTGATGTACAAAGGGCCTTGTTTTTTTATCGCGACTTTGTTCTTATCCGGTTCTGCTTTTGTTAACTGTGTTAGCTACACACCATCTACGAAAGATTCCCGCTGTTATATTATTGTCTACGGAGAATAAGCAGAATTAAAGCATAGGATCAGTTGATCGCCATAAATCGTGCAGGCAAAACTGCTGATTTGAGACCACTATCTTCGTCAAGTCCCAGGCTGACGTTGGCTGTCTCCTTCCGATATGCATGGCCGAAGACGGCTCGGCGAAGTTAGCGGTCCTGCGGCCGATGAAGTACATGGGGTTCATTGGTGGCTTACTATGATGATCTTAAGTTCATAAATATAGTGATATCCAAACGGATCACGAGGTTGCATTCTGGAGGTCAGCAGCACCAACAATACCGCAGCTTTTATGTTTCTGGGACACTGATTGCGAACCAGCGTCCATCTGCTTCTTATTGCTTCTCTTAATGTGTTGTGGAAAACAACGCCTGTTACTGTGTGGTAGTTTCATGCGCTCATCATGAGACCGAATCATCGCAGAGGTTCTTAGACGAATTGTTCGTTGTGCATCGGAGCCTCAGTTTTGTACGCACCTGTTACGGATTCGCTGCTACTGGGTTCTAGGACCTACTTCCAGAGTGTGGCTTTTCAAAAGCCCGAAGTCGGGTCAGTTTCCTGTCTTCGGGTTTCTATACGATACCCCCAGCTCGGTCTCTCGAGTCTGTCACGGGGCACTTACTACGTGGAGACTGGTAGTGGACTCACGAAAACGAACTAAATAGAGTTAACTGATTTAGCCCATTCTATGCGGCAATGAAATACCATGAAAATCGTTTGTTTGCCAATTCATAGCACTGAATAGGGCCACTCCTGGCTCGGATTGCTTTTCACCCTTTTTGAAAAGCCAACTATTGGCTCCGTCCGAAGTACTATTGTGCTCCCTTGCTTAATTGAAGGGGGGGGGGAGAATGATGGTCGATGCACGGTCAAGACGTGCGAACGTTCCCATTAAGGAACGTAAGGCAACCTGCGAAGAAATAATGCCTTATTTGAAATATATTTTTGAGAAATCATTACCAGTTCACTATTTTGCGCAATTGTTCGGACTCTGTCTGGTAGTCAGAGAGTGTCAAACTCATCTTTTTTCGGTACGTAGGTTAGGTCTCCTAAGTAGGGCTCTTCGTTGAAATCCTCTGTGTTTCACAAAGAACCCTTTTTGTGCACCCTGATCCACTTGGCTGGACCGTCCTTGTCAAACAGATTTGAGTTCGACGACAGCTTGGGACATTTGTAAATAGAGCATACACAGCGTGTTCGTGTGGATGGTGAATCCTTACGATCCCTTGGCCGTAACACGCTTAATGTGGTTTCCATCTTCGCCCCATGGTGATTCGCCTGTCATGCGGCAGAATCGATTGGGGTCTCGTCCGTTGTACTTCTTCGTCGTGCCAGGGCTGCTGCATGAATCGATTGGGGTCTCGTCCGTTGTACTTCGTCGTGCTAGGGTTGCTGCATGACTTGTGTATGCTTCCCTGCGTATCCACCTGCCCATCTGCTAAGACCTTTTCAGTCCCTGTCATCGCGTGGCGGCAGTTTTTATGGTAGTTGCACAGCTTGGAATACGGACAGTGAGGAATGATTCAATGAAGACAATAAGTAGTAAGACCATACCAGAAACATCAATTTGCGCTCCTTGATCAAATTTCCCAGGTGCGTGGTGCTTTATCTATTCTAAACGTCCATGTACTGCAACAGATGATACTATCGATTAGAAAAATCCAATTTCCGGTGTCCGCTGGTATGACGTAATGGTGTACGGGTGAGGCCAGTCACCTGATGCTTCAGTCAGGAGCTTTGGTTATGGTGCTACTCTGTTCCTTCATGTCTTTTTGACTGTTATGCACCTTGTTTGGACTGCAACAAACAGACGTAGCTTGAAGTCATCGCTGATTCAGATGGGTTTTAGGTACAATATTTTCTTCTGATCCAAGTTTGTTGAGCGACACCCAAACACCTATGCTTTCTCACCACCAATGCAATGGAATGAGACTGTGAAAAGTTTCCACTCTTTTCTCCTTATGCTCGAATCAAGCAGTTGCCTTGATCTAGTACCGGTTTTCTCAATCTCGTTAGTCACTCTATCAAGTATTGGGAACTTGGTAAATTTGGATGCTCGAACGATGTGCCTAAATTTAGTCATCATGCGTATCCTCATAAAAACTGGCATTAGCTATTATATGAAATACGTTTTCCATGGGATCAGGGTTTTTCTATTCATATCATGTGTGACATTTCGATTCGTCTGGGTAACCCAGTTTTGAGACTTGCGATGGTTTTGAATGATGCGCAACCGTTTTCGCTGTATCAGCACCACGAATTCCGTAGAATTTGGTTTGTGTTTTGGTTGACTTGGATTACTAGTCCGGCTATGGATATTGTCCGTCAACTCGTCCACAATATCAGTTGGGCACTGCTCAGTCCTGTTCAATCAATGGCATTTATTATCTCAAAGCCGATAGGGAAACTTAAGTATACTAAAGAATGATATGTGACGGGCAAACTTTGTAGGTCAAGTGGACAGTAGCGTAATGACTAGCTGTTGGTCTGTATGGGTTCTGTTCCAAATAGCACCCAAATTTTTGTTCTGAAATCTACTTCATTTTGTTTGGTTTGATGTTGGAGTCACCTATGCAGACCCAGGGTTTCTAACTAAGCGAGTTTCTTTCTAAGCGGGCGAGAGGGAATGGAGCGATACTGCCCCAAAATAATCATTGAGTCTGGATTTTCTTTTGATCACTCCGTAAGCATCAGAAATTCTCTCGATGTTGTCTTAGCTCATTTCTGACGTCATTTAATGGCTCCCGGTCAATACTAGGCGAAAACGCACTACAACGATGTCGTTGGTGTCGTAATGGGGTAGTTGTTGCAACTCCACTGCGGCGTGTTTTTTTGGTTCAAGCTGTTTATACTTTGCTAAACCACGAACAACTCATTCAGGTTCGAATACGCCGTGTGCGCAACTGAGGTTCTGGGTCGCTTGGTGTTGGTCTTAAGAGTGTGAATTTTTGACTTACACTTCCGGTGGTCGAACGTTGATGAACCCGGAACGAAACACGCAGGTTTCCCGTGCCGGTCAGTTTAAGCTCACGGTTAGGAACTTATCGGTTCCTTCTCGAGGATCATGCATTTTTTTGGACAATTATTTAGCTGATCACTGGAAGTCAGATGGAAGCACCTGCTTAACCAAGTGCAGCTCATTTGTAAGTATCCTTGATACTTAAAAGTGCCCATATGAGCCTGCGGTTATGGGTTCACATATGATAATGGTGCCTGGTTGCTCTGCGAATTTCTTCTTGCATGTTACTCTCACTGCGGTGAGTGATGCAGTGCTGCGCAACTTTTGGGACTAGTAATCTTCACACCGCTCCCACGAGCCGTCAAATCGATGAATAGTGTCTAGTCTAGCACAATGTGACCGAATGGAACCAATCAATTAGGCTGTGTGATTGTGTGTGTGATGTGATTGCACTGACCGTTTCAACCGTTTTTTTTCAAAGAGTGCGTCATACTTTAGCGTGATTTCCAAATACATTTGAAACTACGGGCCACCCATCTGCTGTGATGGAATGAATAGGATCCCACCTTATTTTGCTTCTGTTTCCATGCAGAGATTTTAATATTCTTCATTTTGTTTAGCGCATCAGCGACATAATTCTGTTGTGCAACTGTTTTATCTGAACAATTAGGGTCAGTGTGTTGTCTCCACAGTGCTCGTTTTCTTATCGAGAAAAATTTCAGCACAAGGTGGGGCACTTTGTGATTTCATATGTTGATATATTGCTCCTGCCTTGTTATGAACTAGGGGATACGTTATTCCTTTGAGCAGCCCGAGCAGCTGCCACGTTTTCACATTACCGTAGTATTGATCCTTAGCTATCCAGATGGGAATCGAAAATGTTTTTTGATGCCTTGGGTTGCGTGACACAGGCTGAATACTCCCTAGGAATACGATCAAGATATCCTAGCACGGAAAATGTGAAGCCTCACCCAGAACTTGTCTTTTGTGTGGGAAGATTTCCAACTAGTTGAAATCACGTCCCTTAACTTGACTCTTCTTGTTCAATCTTTTGTCCATCAGGAAAGACGTTTGCGAATACGGGAGCAGCATTATCATGTGTCCACTGTGTGATCATGTCAGATGTCAGTTTTGGCGATTAAATAGCTCGTGTCTACGAAGCAAATTGACGCGGCTGGTTGACAATGAGGGTACCGTTCTGTTCGGTGTGATAATGGCTCTCTGGGGTAAGTTTATTTTGCTTGTCAATCGGGGGTGTGTTCCATTCTTAGTTTTTCATTCACAATTTGATGCTGCTTGGGAACACAATGAAGATCAAGTAATATGAAGGTCATAACCACTCTATCCTCTGTGAGAGCATTCTTACTGACGTTTTGGTACTGGGGTGCGATAATGGCGGTTTGATGCACCTCACACCCGATGACTGCAGGATCTTTCTCGGGGTCACCTTTGCCGGGTGGATTCCTGAGTAGAATCTTTTAGACTACAGCAACAGATTCTTACATTGGATTCGTATGCGTCTGAACGAAGAACACTTTTCGGACCATTTCCCTCACTATGGTGAATCTCAACTGAATTGGCATCCACACCGGTCGAATCCTTAGTTAACACTAGAACGACCGGGTGATCCTGTTTAATCTTCAGCCTCACTCGAAAATTAGCAACGCACCTAATGGCTCTGTTGATTACCCTGAACTAATGAAATTTTTAAGATTATTTATGCCGTTTTCTCCAGGTTCTGTTTCAAATGACGGATATGTTTCCAGATGGCGGAAAATATTCGAGGTCGATATGTCCAAAACGACACGCGATTCGCCCGAACATATCAGCGAGACGGTCGATATGTCCAAAACGACACGCGATTCGCTCGAACATAGCTGATCAGAGAGACGTATATATAACTGTGAGCAATTTATGGTTGTTCCAGCTGACCGATCTGTTCACTGATAGACGACCAGATTGAGGAGTTTAGTCACACATTGTAATAGATAGCTCCTAAGCTTGTCTCATACCCGTGTTTAAAGCATCAGTACCCAGTTCATGTGGCTTAGGAGTGTCAATACAAGGAAAGCACACAAGGCCGGATACAAATGGGACACTGTAGAATTACATCCGGCACACGAACACAGCCATGGTGCCCGTGAAATCGGCATTGTGACATCTGCTCCAGTTGTGGCCGACAGAAGTGCGTTACTCGTCAGGAAAGTGCCTATAGACTGTCTATATGAAAGGAGGCTGTACGTATGTATATTGGGTCATTTAACAGTTCATTACGTCGCTGGAGGCCTTCCACAAGCCATTCACTGCAGACAGCCCGTTATTTCAGATTATGGGACTTAAAGAGCGTCAGAGTAGATCCACTGCCTGTTTCAGTCGGCCGTATCAGCCGAGCTCATCATGAGATTTAGCCTCGTGCCGCCTAGCGGGGATTTTCAAGCCGTGCTAGTATTAATGAGAGACTAAATGGATACAGTATAAAACAGAATGTCTTTCTGCGTGTTTGAGCCTGAAGTCCATTTTCATCGGTGCTACGAGCATTAATACGAGTTTGGTTCGGATGTCTACATACCTTGACTAGTTCCGCTGCCCAAGAGAGTTCACGGAAATCGGGTGCGAAAATCCGAAATTTGTCATCTTGAACGTTGTCTTCCCAAGTGTTTTTCGTGACATCCGATCACTGAAACATGTGTAAGTGCCGAATTACCACCTATGACAGATTTATATCTGATACATTCCAGTGCTCCTCAGCTAATTTCGTCAGCAGTCCTAACAATTGCACATGGGCTGAGGTAATGAAGCTTCGTGAATTAATAATGCAGATGACTTCATATTCCTTTACACTGCATATATTCGTGAAGACAGTGAAGTTAGGCGGCTTGGCGAGAAAGTGCATAATAATACGGATTGGAACGATCTCTCCATACGTGTGCTGTGACATGCTGTGACATGTAGTCGATTCTCGTGTGCCATTTCGGCGAGTAGCTCACGTGAATGTCATGTTTCCTGAAGTGGCATTTTATAATTTTTGTGGGCTAACAACGTATTATTGGTTTACAGTACGGAAATAGTAGGAGACGTTGCCCCACATCTCGCACCGTGACTTGACTGTGGAACTAACTCCTATTAAGCTGGAATGTGTAGACAAGTATCTTTCCGTCTGAATGGAACTGCCATGTAACGGGAATCACTACCTCCATGTGATACTTCCGGCTCTGATTGTGACCAGTGTTCCCAAAGATGTGTACCAAATAAAATCTCTGAAAGTATGCTATTTGGATTTTCCTCATTATCCTTCTAACGCAATGGCAATTAGTTGTTCAGTCTCTTTTGGAGCAGATTTCCCAAGCAGTTTGACCAACTGGACGCTTGGCCTTCTTGTCGTTCGAGTGTCCATATAAACAAGACATAGCCGTTGTTGAAAGTGACAAAGTCACTTGGTTCGCTAGATGTTTTCACTGTTCCGTGGACACCACAGAGGAACAATATAATCCACACAAAAATCCGTACAAAATGGTTGTAAACAGGTTGGGAGCTTGAAAAATTGTAGAGAAAAGGTTAACTATCACCAACGATATTAGAATGAGTCAAACCTGTTTATACTTCCATCCACTCACAGGAGCAGAAGTCATTCTGCACATTATCATGCATGGGTACAAGCAATCCTTTCCAGCTTTACATACGTAGAAACTTTGCTGTTCGGGGTGTAGGTCGAATTGCGCCCCAATAATACGAAAGTAAAAGACAGGGCGTATCTTTCGCACATATGCCATCATCATCATTGTGTAGACAGCGTCACCAGTTGACGCCGATGATCCGCTTCCGTACGTCCACAAAGTCCCAAGAAAGAAGGAATGATAAAGTTGAGGTGGGGACTGGCTGGCAGTCGGTCATAATGGATGCCCATATCCCCAACCTCTCAGACGGGCGATGTGGTGGCACATTGGATTTATTAACTACTCTCAGCTTGTTCAGCTTGTTATATGTTTTCCGAATGCGGATGCCGGTGCGTTGGGATGAATGGTTCTGTCTGCTTGAATGCACATCAACGACAGCATTTCAGCCTTACTTGAACAAATTTTATTTAATCCTTCGGCAATCTGCAAAGCCAGGTGCTTTCCAACAATAGTTTAGAATGCTCTGGATACTATGTTCACCCGAACTACATCGTCTCTATCCACTTTCGGTACTATCACTCCACTAATCATCTTGTTTGTTCATCTCTTTCCGGTCACCACACGATAAAATATATGTGAGCACATCACTCATCCATTTAAATTTCACCGTTGTTTTATTTTGCACTGTACTAAGATACTTAGTCATCATTGTTTACTTTGCTCGACCTACGCTTTATCCTGTAGCACGCCAGCGAATGAGCTATGGACGCCTGATGGCTAATCTATATTGCTTGTGTGCAGCCTGTTTCAGTCAGAGTTCATATCAGTTCTTTTCGGTATCTGTGACCGATATGTTCTATAAACAATGTTCCAGTCATCGTGTACTTGTGGCTAGCATCCACCATTCGTCTTTGCCAATCACCGGTTTATACAGTCTCTCAAGACTGACTTACCTTTCGTTTGTTCTACGCGCAACCCACTGAAACTATCGCAATCTTGGATGCGGAGTTGAAAAAGAGCCTCCAATCACTGAGCGTGTTAAAATTCTGAAATGCATTCCAGTTCGTAAATAGCAAGCTGCTTTTGAAAAATTGGCATAGGACTTTTGCCTGTCGGTTGGTGGACTTCGTCCGAGTCAAAGTTACAAAGCAAAATTTTTGGCAGTTTACTCAGTCGTCTTTGGCGTACAGTCAAGGAAGTAATTTGAAACGAAACTTCAGTTTTGTGACCTGCAGTCATTACTGAAATCTGGAAAGATTTATCTTATCTATTTTGACAAATGGCTTGTGTCGTGTATTTTAAAAGCTCAAGCAGATGGAGCGAATTTTGAGGCCGTAAAATGTCTTATTGAAGTGTATGCCCCCGACCCCCCCGAAAAGCCACTACTCGGTAGGAGAGGTCAACTCCCTCTTTTTAGGTTGCGGTTTCATGACATCTGAGTCAGTGTAATTTCAAAGTTGTTTCCCCACTGAAATACCCAATTTTTTGTAGTGCCGTTACAAGTGTGAATCATATTGATACCCATTGATGCTTGTCTTCTTTTATGAAACTGATCAATCCGGTTAACTTCCCCTGTTCCAGCCATACTATTTCTGGAGCTTTGGAAGCGTAGGCAAGTCTCCCTGGCCTATCAGTGGAGCGTGTATTCCTTGGAACCAGTAGATCAACCACCAAGACCTGAGTTCCTTGCCTTGTTACAAAAAGGGTTCCCGTCCAAACTGAATCCTGTATCCGGAGTGAGTGCGCCTTTTTATTCAGAAAGTCAATCGGTAGTGTTTGGTCCCTGTTGTCTTAGATCTGCTTGGCTATTATTTAATGGCAACCTACTCAGATCGAACCAAATATCACCACTCACTACAACATTGACTACTCTGTTTTGGCTTTTATCACTAGATTAGTTTGTCGGTCAACTTTATGCGGAACAAACTTACACAAATCACGACGAGTGTATCTTACTGGACGAAATCACCAGTTCCGTTCCTCTTCCCTGAATAGACCACCACCATCTAGTCAAAAGTTGTTTCTTTGAAATGAGTTTACCTGGAGGATGTTTACTGTTACGCTTCAAGTTACTGACTGAGAGTGAACCGTTAGTACAGTTCATGTCTCCAGAGAGATAGAATTGAATCAACAACCGACATGATTGGCCCGCATTGCTCAGGGTGTGGATGAAGTGAGCTTGTGAGCACTATTCCGTTGTAAGGCTTGATAGTGGTGATGCGTGGGGTTTGCTTTTTTGTTCCTTTTTATGTACTGTTCGCCTAACATTCAATGGAGCTGTCAACTAGTAGAATAAATTTGGGAATGGTTTGTAAGGTTGTGCAGAATCCAAACAATACATGTAAATCTACATTACCTTACTTAGTGAATATTTCTTCTAAGGCTGTCATTCGGACCGACGTATGCTTTCAAAATAAGACTCTAGCCATACTAAGAATGAGTGTCATGTGATTCGAGTGATGTTTCGCACCTATATTTCGTCAAACTATCTAACTATGTTTTCTTATTAGACCGTAGGTTGACGAATATATTATTCAGTGTTTTATATGTGCGTATAACTTCCTCGGTCATTTCGAGCCACAAATGTTCTGTTTTTCCAGCTTGAAGAACCCGTGGTACCATTTTGGAGACTGCGCGTGCCGTGCTTCTGTGTTAGTTTCACATCGGTCCTCTTTGGTGTAAGTTATGCCGTCTAAATTGTTATCCCATTTCGCAATGTTGATACTCGGTTTCTAGAAAGTTAATCTCTTTCATCGCAACCAGAAATCTTAGTGGGTCAATCTTGTCCGTGTTTCTTATATTTAACTTTCTTCGTTGAGCTGTGCTTTGGAATAAGGATTTCGATTATGTTTCTTTCATCTATCTGTAATTGTGTAATTCGACCAATAAAATATCAGTTTTATCTATTCAGGTAGAAAATGGCTCCACAGATGCTCCTCACGTGAATCAGATGGCTCTGCTGAAGCCGTTACAAGTTTCTTTGAAACTTGTGTGGAATTGCGTTTGTGTTGATTACATTTTGTGCTCAGTGCAATTCTGAGGCGTCGTCAGTTTTGAACCCTTCCGTTTGTACTGGGCCCGCTATTTTTCATTGGAGCAAATAGCCTGGTTATCTGTCGCGTGGTGGATCCAAATGATTCCCTAGTTTGAACTAGATTATCCTTATCCAATCCTTTGGGTTGAAGGATATTTCATGCGCTTTCCTTCCACATCCAACTTATCTTCCAATTCCCAGTCTGATCATGGGTTGCAATGAATTGCAGAGTGGTGTTAGTATGGTTTGTTAATGCACGAATTTCCAGCACAAAGGCTCACGTCTAATTACTCAGTGACCTCCAACCCCANGACCGTAGGTTGACGAATATATTATTCAGTGTTTTATATGTGCGTATAACTTCCTCGGTCATTTCGAGCCACAAATGTTCTGTTTTTCCAGCTTGAAGAACCCGTGGTACCATTTTGGAGACTGCGCGTGCCGTGCTTCTGTGTTAGTTTCACATCGGTCCTCTTTGGTGTAAGTTATGCCGTCTAAATTGTTATCCCATTTCGCAATGTTGATACTCGGTTTCTAGAAAGTTAATCTCTTTCATCGCAACCAGAAATCTTAGTGGGTCAATCTTGTCCGTGTTTCTTATATTTAACTTTCTTCGTTGAGCTGTGCTTTGGAATAAGGATTTCGATTATGTTTCTTTCATCTATCTGTAATTGTGTAATTCGACCAATAAAATATCAGTTTTATCTATTCAGGTAGAAAATGGCTCCACAGATGCTCCTCACGTGAATCAGATGGCTCTGCTGAAGCCGTTACAAGTTTCTTTGAAACTTGTGTGGAATTGCGTTTGTGTTGATTACATTTTGTGCTCAGTGCAATTCTGAGGCGTCGTCAGTTTTGAACCCTTCCGTTTGTACTGGGCCCGCTATTTTTCATTGGAGCAAATAGCCTGGTTATCTGTCGCGTGGTGGATCCAAATGATTCCCTAGTTTGAACTAGATTATCCTTATCCAATCCTTTGGGTTGAAGGATATTTCATGCGCTTTCCTTCCACATCCAACTTATCTTCCAATTCCCAGTCTGATCATGGGTTGCAATGAATTGCAGAGTGGTGTTAGTATGGTTTGTTAATGCACGAATTTCCAGCACAAAGGCTCACGTCTAATTACTCAGTGACCACCAACCCCAAAACAATCACGGACTCAGCTGGAAGATGCGGTTATCAGTTACCGATGTAAAGCCTCAGTTAAAGGTTACCATTATTTTTGGCTTACACAACTTGGCTCTGATCACGCTATGATGCGAGCCCACTTATCACTTTGCTTCCAGTCTGCATTACGTGTGCGAAAGCAGAGCGATTCCATCCATCAGCTGCTATAAGTTTCAGTAACTCAGAGCTGTTCTGGCTAGTAAGCTACTGGAAACTCACAGTCATGAGGATGACGGAGATTGATTGGAGGTTGTTTGAAAGGGAATGAGAGACTATGCTGTCATCTCTCAGAATGGTTTGGCCAGGCCATCGGACTCGACTAAATCAACACTGAATATTGTCGAGATCAGCAGGTCTTATTACTGCCAGAGTGACTATATCAGTAACTAGCGACTGTCGTGGCGCACTCAGATAATCATGAGCTTGAAGAATTACACAGAACGCTCGTGAATATTGCAGGCCAAGGAGATCGAGAAGGCTTTCGCTGAAGAAAACAGCCGCGACCTATTTCAGCTTATGTGGTCCACCAGCACAAGGGGCACAAGCGTCAGTGAAGCAACATGCAAAAAAGAATGGACGGCAATTCTGGTACAAAATCGCCGTATTGAGTGATGAGCTGAGCTGTTCAAAGAACTAAGTATGGAAACACTAACCAGTAAACCTAATCGAATCGACACCTGGATTGGAACCCCCGAACTCAATTCACCTTACTTGACAAGTCCTAAGGAGTAAGAAAAAGTGTAGGATGAACAGATACACTCATTTTTGACTATGCGCACATTTTCTTCCTATTAGTTTGGTTGTACAATCTTTTAGCCTCCTTACCAAATCGGAATTAGAGCGTGGACCCCATCAAGTCAACGTTTAGCCTTTCATCTGAGGTTATTGCGCAACACAGCTCTTTATCCTATTTCCCCATGTTTTTTCTCATTCGTGCCTCAGGTGCTCCTCACATTGGCCTGTCTCGTAGGCGTAATCTTGTACAAGCTGGTCATGAAAATCGTCTTCTATCAGCAACCAAATCAGTTTATTCAAAGCATGGCAGGGAAGCTGACAACTATAACGGGCTCCGTGATCAACTTGATTCTTATCTTCATCCTAAAATTTGTAAGTCCCCTCCACTTGTTTTCCGACCACTATCGCCATCGCTCAGAATGATTGCTTTTTCGACCTCTCAATTTCCAGATTTACAATCGCCTCGCAATCAAGCTAAATGACCTGGAGAATCATCGAACCCAGACGGAGTATGACAACAGTTTGACGTTGAAGCTGTACTTGCTACAGTTCGTTAACTACTACTCGTCCATTTTCTACATAGCATTTATACAGGGCACCACAGCAGCAGTTCCTGGTGCTGATAAATCAATCGTTCAGTCAACTGGGGTGAGCAATCAATTGCAATGTCTGTGTTCTTTTGAGCTCACTGTTTAATGGTCTCGTCATTTCGATTCAGTAGCATCATGTTTCACAGTGCTGAGAAGGTGTAAAGTGTGGTTATCTCAGCTGTGGATGCATTCAGTCGTAAATTGAGTTTTGTACTGTCAGAGTTTTGTGGGTTGAATGCACTTTGCAAGTGTTAGATTGGGCTTTTCTGTGCCTGCCTGCCTGTCTGTCTGCCCCCTGTCTGTCTGTCTGCTCCGTGACTATCCAGCTGTTGATATTGGCTAATGCGGGTTTAAAACCAAAAGTAGCCACGAGTTTCATTTTTCCCCAAATCATCAGATGGTCGGCTTGTATTAGACATATGTCATGCAGTGTTGTGCTCCTCATCACAGCTTTGAACATTTTTTACGTGAAATCCAGTGAATGCTTGAAGTAAGCAGTGAATCCGGTTACCATTAAGGGTTCAGTTAGACTCGAGTGGCAACAAAACTTTCGGTGTCCCTTATCGTTCACTGCCTTGTGACGGTCTGTGAAGCGATGACTCAAGTGCAGCAAGCGAGATTTTGGTCCGGTAGGAGTTACTCTGATCACATCTTCCCACGCCGTCACGTGTTAGGACAACACCATAGGTATAAGTGCATTTGACTCTGTTAACCGGACTGTTTTCAGCATGATCGCTGAGAACGGAATGCCCCGGCATTTCGATGCTATAATAAGTATACATTTTCAGATTTGGGGACTAAAGAGAGTATACGAGCAACTCCCCAAAAGCATTCATACCAAAAGTGACCCGACAAGCATGCCTACTCGACGAGGTAATGACATCAACGCCAAATGGTCTTCAAAACCGTGATATTCAACAGACTTCCGACAAAACTCCGTCGATCTGAAATGTATGGATGCTATAGCTCATGTTCTCGAAGCGGAAAAGAAACCACAAGCCTTTACGTAAACTGATCAAAGTCTTCTTGCTCGAGCTTAGAACACTGAAGTGTAAGGCCATCCGGTCACTGAACACGTTACTGAGGTTTCGGGCGTTCCATTTATTTTCAGAGCTGTATAGTCTCCGTCTGTAATGTGACTGATGAGGTCATGGATGAATCCCTAAATCTCGGGGCATGTTTGTTGATTTAAAACATTAGTGGTGGCAAATCGGCATGTTCGTGAATCTCACGAGATGTGAATATCTGGTTACGGTGCGGGCTGTTGTAGTGTATGGCTGCGAGAGGTGACCTCTGCGAGTATTAGAGCTGAGATGTCTTGTTTTTTCTACAAATTTCGTTTCACGGCCATAGCCAACAAATGTGCAACGATACAATTAGACGAGTGCTTGATTGGACAATAAGGACTTTAATCGAAGATTGTGGTCGACAAAATCTATAGTGTTTTGGTCGTGTACTACGCATGTCGTCGTTTGTTGCAACAGGTGCTGTTTTCCGCGCCCAGCTGACAGTGGCGCAAGCAGAAAGGTGGTCAAACTTTGACCTGGTCGAGGGACTTGAAGGGGATTACTCAAAGTTTGGATACTGTCGGTGCGACCTTCCTCCCAGGATGAGGTCAGCAGTGTCCTGTGTGCGTGCATACTGGGGCATGTAGCCACTATTCAATGCCCATGGCTTTCTGGTTGTCATTTTCTATCCAGATCGTCTGAATGAATGTCGAACACTGGTGTTGTGCTGTTGATCGTGATGGTGTTGAAACAAGTGCTATACGTCTCAGTATTCCAAGTGTTTCAACCTGGCTGATACAGTTCTGCCAATGATTACTGAATTCGGTATTTCAGTATCACACACTTTTGTCTAAGATGACGAAGGACTGGTTTTTTGTCAGAATTTGTGTACGTTCTCTGTGCTTTTTTCTTGTCAAACTGGAGCATCAAGTGAACTTCTTACTTCTTTAATGGTTTACTGCTGCGATGAGTGATGGGTGAAAGCGTTCCTGCATTGTTGCTGTCCATGAACTTCAGTCAATCTGACTCTTGCTCTACACCGTTCATAGTCAGCCGATGTGGCTGTCGGTTCCACTTTGTGGTCTCTTCTTGTTCTCTCTGTTATTGGTTGGACAAACTGTGGAAGCTGGATATGTGTACCCTTCTTTGTGGCTGTATTTTAGTTTCATCGGAAAACTTCATTCATTGGTGGCTGTGTGGATGTGTGATTGTCCTTCGTACTGAAGATAATGGGAGGTCGTGCGAAAGCTGTGATTTTGACATGTCCTACCTTGTCTTTCCTCCATTCCCTCTCATATGTCATATATGTATGCAACGTGTTCGCTGGCGAGGACAGTGTGACCAGGGAGACTGTTTGTTTGAATTGTTCCTTCAACTTGTGATCATTATGGTTGGCAAGCAACTTCTGAACTTTATTCAAGAGACTATGATGCCGTAAGTTTCAATCCTTTCCATCGTTTTGTGCATTCCCAAATAACCATCATTCAGTCCTACGGGGGTTACAAGTTGAACGCATGTTCAACGGTTTACCCTCGGATTATAAAACATCACATTCCCTTCTTTTCTGTCCACATTCTGTGATTTTCCCCATTATATCCGAAATTCAAGTATGTAGTTCCTATCATCAGCCTCAACTCTATCCTGTTGTTTTTGTCCATCTAGCGTTTCTTATGCGCCAAAATTTCTAGCGAACAGTGTATTCCCATGTCGCACGCTACAAAACATGCAATGTTTTTGGTGTATCCAGTGGGGCCTTCAGTGAGAGAGACAGAGTGCTACTCTTGTTCGGCGTGCCTGCCGTCCCCTGTTAAAACAAATCCTCATTTGTGGTTCAAAGTAACCACACGTAGGTGATGATAACATCAACACCTCTGGGATAACCGGATTGTACAAAGCTTCACCGGTTTAATGGGTATTGTGTACGGACTCATATTACGCAACAAATCCTCATTTGTGGTTCAAAGTAACCACACGTAGGTGATGATAACATCAACACCTCTGGGATAACCGGATTGTACAAAGCTTCACCGGTTTAATGGGTATTGTGTACGGACTCATATTACGCAAGATGCTTATGACCTTATTCTGTTTTCTTTTCTATGAAGCTCCCGAAATAGGCTCACCAAATGTAAAAAAATACCTTGGTAGACGTGTACCCGTTTTTCGGAGAAGCTGCACTAAACTCTACTTGTGGTGCATGACGTGCACAAGGAGATTAAGCTTTTGTACATCCACCCAAGAATGTGTGTAGACGTATGCGTGTTTTCAAAAGAGAGGTAGTGGTCTTTGCTCTCTACAACCCAAATGAACTTTCGTGACTTAAGATTGTCAGACTTTCAATGACTTTCGAAACCGTGTGACTTTTGCATGATGACCACTTTCTGCTCCTCAGTAGTGTGGTTAACACGGTTGGCATCATCTACTATCGAACTGGCCATAATCCCGAGACATTCCGAATAGTTCCACATTCCAGGCTATATGCCTGATACTCGAATTCTAGGACAAAGGCGCCATGATTATATTGGAATAACGCGCCTTCAACTCGACTGTAAACTGGAGGAAGCCGCAACATTGGTTCCAGTGTTTTGTTCCCCACATCTGGTCAGCTGTTCCTATTCGACAGAAATGTGTACAAAGGTAGCACTCTGATTTGGGCTTCGGGAATCTTGATATCTCAGTAAGACGATCCAGATTAAAATCCCACTTGTCTTTATTCGTTGTCTTAAAAGTTTTGCCGCTCTACCTACTTCACTTGCAAAGAATTGTCCGTAGGATTCTCCAAGAACCTGGAGGCAGTGTTCATCGGTTTGTTCGGTTTTCTTGCCATTCCCCATCCACTCAGTCATCTGTCTCCGCGACCTAGAGCTTATTTTTTCAAAGTTTGACATCTCTGTGCATTCTTGTGAACCGGATTCTGCATCAACAATGTTTATCCACATATTAAGGTAATGCAGGTGACAAAAATGTGTGTTATGTTTCGGAAAACCAAAATGTTATCATGTTTTATTTAAGATTCCTTATTCCTGTTTACCCAAAGTATAGTCCATTAGTCCTATTTCTCATTGGCCGGAACTGTGCTGATGCGGACTACCTTCACCTCATGACCTGATCTTCGTGACTATCTTTCAACTTTGATGTTGGAAACTAGACATCATTTTTGTGGTTTTTATTACCAGTCTCTCCTTCGATAAAGAGCAAGTTATTGGGTATCCATCGATCCCGTGACCTTTTTGATTACAGTCTGGAGTAGATTTTCGCGCGAATGACTACATGCTCACATCTCCACGAATCGTAAACCACCTGCTTCCCATCTTAAAGTATACCTTCGGTAAATCCACTGTTTCCTATCGTTTTTAATGCACATATTCTCTTCTGTTCTTCCTGTGCTATTGCCAGATGCATTGTTGTCGAGACGAATTTACCACCTGATGGTGCAGTGCTCCTGAATTGGCTTTGACAGTTTGTCAAGCCACTTGGTTTGTCTCTTGGTTGAAGTCCACTCAACTCCAGTAGCTTGAAATTAGGGTCACCAGGGTCTGTTGAGCGCCCAGTGGCCTCAGATCTTTTTCAGATTTGTTCGAATGCACCGTGTGGTCAGCACACACGGTCATTATACCGATACCCACTTACGGGCTGCTTACACAATTTTATCTAATTTGGCGTTTGAGATTCCAACACTTACGCGTGCACAATGTGTTTCCCTATCAATACAGAGTAATCCTTCGTTTAATTCGAAAGATTCGCGCAGATTGTCAGCGAAGAAAAGCATCCACTACACCCGAGACTGCAGATCAATTAGAGCAGAAGCTCCACACCGAAGTTAAAACAAGAAGTGATCGACTGCTTGCCTGCCGCTCTGACTACACTCTCCTCGACCCGGGTACCCGACCGTTATTCGATGAATACTTGGAGATGAGTACGTTAGATGAAAACCTCGTCGTCGGGCGGTTTTCTTCAAATGGGTTTTTCTCACCATACCATCTTCATACCATCTTTACGTTCCACAAAAACTGATGATTCCTCCATACGTTGAAACATTCTCATTTGAGTTCGCAACTTCTGCTACACATTTGGTCCGCTCAAAGCAGAGTAGGTGTAAACCTTGCCAACTTTTCATGGTGGCAAACAAGATTGAATGGAAGACTAACGTTTGTGGGGAAGGACTCACATCTGCATCTTCTTTTTGACCAAATTTCGTTGGTTTCAAATCCTCATGACTCTGTACTGTCTAAGTTGTTGTTATGACGATGAGCTGCAGGCGGGGATGTCACTCTTTTCACAAAAATATTTCTCCAAATTATCTGTAGGATATCCTGGTGAAGATCGAGGACTGTCTCCATTTGAAATTGTGATGTCGAGAGTTAAGGTGTTTTGAACGGTGTGCTCATTACTTCGAAAAGTCGAAGAGTCCCATGTTTTTCTCTTGGCATCTGTTTATTGCTAGCTGATAGGGTTTTCGTTTCCTACCCCTCATGTTTGACATCAGGAAGACCATAAACGATTACCATAGCTTAGCTAAGTATGGAAACTGTTCGGCACTATGTTCCCATACTACAAGCTGTGCTTCTATAGTTCTCATTCTCTGTTTGTTATTTGTAAGATGCCACCTGTTCAGGCGATGTAAAATCATAAGGATGCTATTCAAACTCGTAGTGTTGATGACGTTTTCCCGACCCATTTAGCAAGATATGTACGTTATTTTCCAACCCTTTTTTTGTTTCAGTGATTCAGTACGGATTTATCACAATGTTTGTTCCGGCCTTTCCTCTGGCTCCGTTCTTCGGAATGTTGAACAATCTCTTCGAAATTCGCGGTGAGCGAAGAAGT